TGCTTTGCCAAGCTTGTTCCAAGTAGGTGCTTTAGACCACTGAGCCATCTCACCAGCCCACTGAGCCATCTCACCAGCCCACTTTCCTGTATTTATTTATAAATGGACTTCCTTCTTTCTCTTGCTCCTATGCTAATGTTCTTCTAATCTTTAATTTCTTTTTTTTAATCTTAAAGAAACAAACATTATGGGATCCCGAGTTTACAAGTTTGAAGATCGCTACAGATTTTTCCTCCTTCCTTAGAGCCACTGCATTTAAATAAAAGGATTTATTTATTTTTTATTTTTAGGGAAGGGTCTATGGGGTGTGGGGTGTTCAGGGTCTCACTACTAGATCGGACTCATAGTGATTCTCCTGATCAGCCTCCCAAGTGCTGGGATTACAGGTGTGTGCCACCACGCCCAGTCTGTTAGTGTAGGAATTCAGTCTCACCATTCCTGCCCTCTGGTGAGGGATACTTCAGAGCTCCAGAAGATCCAAGCTCTTGTGTTACCTGTGAACCCTGTGATGTGGCAGCTATGGTCGGGGTGGCTGCAGCCAGACCCTGCTGCTGTCCTGAAGGATTGCCCTGCAGATGAGACTTTCAGTCTTTCTGTTGCTCTGTCGGGACAAGTATAGAATGGTCCTGGTGAAATCCAGTGAATCTTTTTTTATAGCCTAACATGGGCTCCTAATGGAAGCTTTCCTACTGTTTTGCAGAAATAAATATTCAGAAGCATAACAGAAAACCAGAAAGACTCTTAAGATGTAGAACTTACAGCATATATTACACATTTACTTGTCTTCATTGTGATGTTCACACAGGTCATGTTTTGGAAGGGGCAGGGAGGAAAATTATTTATTTGTGGTAGTCAGAGCTGTCAGTCCCATCTAGAGGGATTTCCCAAAGATCTTCCTAGCTTGCTTTGTTTGGCTCTCCTCCCTGCCTTCTGGTGACCCCAGCAATGTTGTTTATGTCATCCATAATTTTTCTTGGTTCCTTTGTCTTTTTCTTAGTGGACTCCAAGTGCTGCTTTAGTTCTTTGGAGCCCGGTACCCACTGACATATTGGAACTCCTGTTCTGAGCAGGCCCACAGGGACACAGAAACTTTCAGAGTGCTATTTGCCAT